TGGCAGCTTATTCATTAATGTGATCGGAGATCTAAATCGATCGCCAGTTTCCAAAAATCCTAGAACACAAGATATTATGTCACACTTAGACTGAGAATTTATTATAAGCAGAAAGGTCAGGACTGGTTATGGAAAAATATGCAACATTCATAAAATCACGTTTATAGTGGAAATTATTCGGTCAAGTAGGGAATCTTGATAAAATGATCTAGAGCAGTATTTTCTTGTTTCTGAAGATCTCATTTGCAAATTCCTTTTCGTTCTCATTTAATCTGAGAACAACTTCTCTGTCCACACAAGAGAATCGAAATTTGACCCTGTTTATAAAAGTTTGTCCACGTGATTTGATATTGATGTAACTTATACCATGGAAGGCAACCAGTGGGCTGCCGTCTTCGTTGTTGCCCCAAAAGTTGGATGGTTCAATTACTGTTACATNGATTAGCTTAATAAGAGGCGATTATTCTTGTGAATTTTCCACTTCACAACTCCAGAAATTGATGAGCTTGGTGGATTCCCACTAAACTTAGCACAGTATGAAAGAATAGTGGAAGTTAAATGTGTTTTACTTGTTACTTAAATTCAGAACAAAAATTGTGCAAATGAGTTTGTGGTGGTTTATTACAAGAATAAGCCTTGATTCATGCTCAGTAAGCCCTGTGGCAAGATCCCCCAGTAGAGAAGAGCTCCCAAAGGCAGCTAGGGCACCTCGACGATATGGCGGTAACAGACATTTGGCGTACAATACGTTCGATCGGGTCATGTGGCACGAACGCAGGTCTTAGTCATTAAAATACACTTCTGGCTAGGCTGACTTTGCCGTAACCATTGATTGTCAAATGACTGAGAGGTCAATGTGCTCACACTGCACATGCTTCCTAACACGATTGTCAGCATGTCGCACTTGATGGCTATGGGTCAGTGGTACACCTCTCGCTCTAGAGCGTTCTAGAGCACGTGAGGTACCTTGGTTCGGCCATGTTAGTGTTGCGTTCTGCATAACTTTATTCTTCAATGATTTAAAGATTATTGAACAAATATCTGTGAATAGGTCAAGTTTTAACTTTAACACTTCAGCATGATATTGATAGGCAGTGAAGCGGATGACAGAATTCTGGTTATTCGTCGCAAATGCTCCATTATTCTACTACTCAAACAAGAATTAATGCTGTAAAATGCTTTCCGAAGTGGACGCGAGCTCACTACTGAGCTTACATCTATCGAAAATCTTGAACATTGGAAACGCAGTCATCGTTAGTCAGTGGTTTCTGGGTGGCATATAAATCAGTCAAAATCTGTTGCTTATATAAATTGTCAGCCAAAAGATGTAGTGACCTATAATCACCCAGAGAAGTATGTCAAGGAAGGCTCAAGGACACATTTCCGTTTAAGCGAATTTGCTCAAAAGGAGATCCATATGATCCTTCCTAAAGTGTCTTTTTCATCACATCTGATGCCCCTACTTGAGCCGCTTGAAATGTTATGCTAGGTGGTCTGACTCAGCGAAACTCCTAAAGCAATTTGTGAGTTAAAGTTCCTCAAAATCGAGCGTTACCATATCAGATGCAGTAAAGCAACATTCCCTATCCATCGAGATGTTGAACTTTCGCTGATACTAAGAAGCAGCATAATTCATAAGAATACCGAGACACTTTGATTAACATTATGAAAAAAAGATGGAGTTATGTAAAATATCGGAACCACTTGAACGGATCTCGAATATTAAGAAAAAGAATTCATAACCGGTTTTCGCCTTAAATGGTTTTCTCAGGTATGAGGACTTAGAATAGCGAATAATAATAGTTGCCAACGGAAATACTCTTAATTGGGGCTTGTAATGACAACGTTAAGAGATAATTGTAGACTTTTATTATTTGTTTAAATTCCTACGGATTTCACAACTCTCCCAAGGCTGAGTAAAGAAGTTTCATACGTGCTAGAACAGCCTCGGAGGTGTGGTCAATCACTAATCAATGACCACTGCATTGCTAGCGCACCTTTTGCTTTTATTTTAATGACCGATCTTTGTGCCACTGTGACACGCAATCAGAATGAACACTGTCCACTTTATACCCTCTTCCGTACTATTGATGTGGCTCAGCTAATTTTGCGAACAAAATCATACATGGGAATTTTGTCATAGAAAGTATTTCTGAGATTTGGTAAAGGCTTACTTGTGTGACCTCCACTACATCATCATCATCATCATCATCATCATCACTCAACTTTAATATTATCTACCACGTTGTGAGAAAATAATTCTTCATCATGGAAATGACAAGATTAACTTCTCAAGAATTTAGAAAGTGGTTTCGGAGTCTGCACTTGTTCCTTCGTATTGTACGTTAAATTGAGTGCAGTTATTTGGCGTTATGTGGATGGGAAGGAGGGGGGGGGGGACAAAAAAGTCTATTATTCGGCAGTTGACTTTCGGTTTCAAACTACTATGATCCCACTTAATGTTATTTTCGACCCCTTTCATAGTACTCATCTTACCATTTCAATGCCTTTATGTTTGTCTCTCTCTTTTTTACATCTCTGAATCATTATTCTGTCCCCCCCCCCTCTCGACTTATTGTCACTTTGATGTTCCTCCTCCTCTCTGTGAAGCCCCGAAGTCAGCTACAGGGCTAATGGTGACGATCAAAACGCCTGCCGTTTAAAATAAATAAATAAATACAATTTGCATTATTGGCTGTAATGGCATTGCGAATCGGAGGTTACGCAAATAAACCTTTAGACCATGAGAGAACGCCTATAAAAATGCTGGCATATGACCATTGAGGCAACATGCTACAAAGAATAGAAAAGCTCTATCGATGGAGCACAGAGTCCTATCTGGGCCAAAGTTACAATGACATCTGAGTCTTAGAAATTATAAACCAATCTAGTCGGGTCCACCTTTTGCCCGCATTAGTCCGTTTCAATTGAATTCTTATGAGGGGCTTTTCAAAAAATTAATCTTCCAACGAGAGAAATGAGTAACTACTGCCATTGTCGGATATTTTGGAATCCAAAGTAAATGAACACACACGGTAGAACTTCTCCGTGTTCACATCATGCGTTTAGCGAAATGGCAACTGTTCAAATAAGGCAAGGAAATGTCGATAGATGGGCAATAGCTACTTGCTGTCAATCTAAAAGTTGAAGTGCCTCACTGCAGCTTCCTCCAAATGTACTAAAATAAGCTTTATTTTCAGAATTTCGGAGTGTGCGACAGACTTACCTCCACGTGGTGCACCCTGGGCAATGTATATTCATACGGGAAAAAGTCTATTAACTGGCAGTTGACTTCTCACTTCAAACTACCCTCACCCCATTGTATGTCATATTCGACTACCTCCACAGTACTCACCTCACCCTTTTCCACTTTTGTGTCTGTCTCTTTTATATTTTTGAAACTCTCTTCTGTCCCCCCTCTCCCTCTCGAGTTGTTTCGCTTTGATGCTCCTCCTCCTCTGTGAAGCCTGAAGTCAATTAAAGGGCTAATGATAACCATCAGAATGCCTGCCATTTGACATAAATAAATAAATTTTCAGAATTTCTAAAGGAGGACTAAATTAGCTATCATTAAAAAGGAAATTCACAATTTATTGCCTTCTTACTCGATGTAGCATTGGAGCCGCAAAAGCAAGATTGTGTAGAGTTTGTTGATCTGAAAGTATGAACAGACAAATGATCCTAAAGGTGTCAGGTAGAAGGGAGAGTTAGATGTTGATCTTACTGAAAAACAAACACTTAAATGGACCTCAGTATGAGGCCTTGCATACACTTAAAGTTACCTTATTCTTATCGCCAATTATTTGCGTTCAAAGTGAAAAATTTAGTGAAATGTTTGCGAAATCGGGGCTGTCATTCGATGAGATTGGTGCATGCTCAGTGGATAGTAATGCCAAATGATATTTAAAGGTAAAATGAACGCGCGAACATAAGCGAAATATTCCCATAACTTTATACCCATCCTAAAATGCGGTGTCATAAAGTGCACACACTTCGTTTATTATAAAACAACCTTTCCACAACAGTCCACCATCTATTCCAGTCTTGCAATTGGCGCCGATTATTCGAAGTGATTTTACATTGAAGATCCTCAACAAGAACTATAACGACTTCCTACCTTTGTCCGTGCCCCTAAATCCCGAATCACGACTTGTACTAAGCTTGATCGCTTAAGTACTTAAAAGGGTGAAGGCCGAGTTGCTTAGGCTTAATTGCAATTTAATAAGCAGTCATTCGCTAGACTTCGGAATCCATGGTCCACCTTTTACAACTCTCGCTCGAATATAATTGCACAGTTTAAACAAGGCTTTACCAAGAGATTAATAACAGTTGGTTCCAATAATGTAAGAACACAAATATTGACACCACTTGAACAAAAACTTGGTGGATTGGTTGACCTGTTTACTCGAGCTCCAACCACCAAATTCCACATATAAAAGTGGAGATAGAAGATATGAGCAGGAAGAATAGAAAGTTTATTTATCAAACAAAACACAAAAATGACGAAAAAAAGGCAGTCACCAAGATGAAAATTCTACAAAGTTTATATTTTTTGATTTTACTATTAAATAATCTAAATTGTAGGCATAATAATATGTACAATGAGGAAGGCTTGTTTAACCTTTTCAGTGCCTGTAGGTTAAAAGCTTCTTTGAAGAGTCGTGGCGGCCACTTGGAGGAGACATTTTCGCGAATCAGACGCCTTGAAACGACCCAATTGGCGTTGAGCCTCTTGAAAGTGGAATTCCGCCAAAATGCGCGTCTGACCAATTCCGTTGGACTAAAGCAGACAAACCAACTAGAAGCATGAGAACATGCATGACATAAACCAAACTAGTTTGTGCCCTATTCAGGAAATGGCCACAAATTAGGGATAATAAAAGTGCATATTACTGAAATACTCAAAGTACCAATATCTACTAATTTGTAGAACATTAGGGAAATTAGAATAGTTAGATACATTTGGAAAGTTGATCGAAAAAAACGGGAATTTACCTCGCGAACGTACTTCACAGCCCTTTTTTGATCTTCTGGAGTTTTAAATCCAGTATCAAGCATCTTTTCTAGCTCAGGAATCTGAAATTAGAGAAAGAAAAACAAACGATGTAAACAATAGCACAGCGACCTAAAATATCATCCTGTACTCTTGGATACCATTTTAAAATAACTGAACGTTACCAATTCAGATGACTACTTTATTCAACAATCCAAGTACTTGAAATGGCATTTACAATTCGTGATTTAAATTATGCAAGCCTTTGATTTAATAAGCCATCATCTACTGGAATCAATATCAACTCCACCTATTAGGTAAGCTCCAACCAAGCGCACTCAATAATTACACTTTTAGATCCAAATAGTTGTGTGGATTTCGGTTCCAAAGCTGACATGCCCACAATTTGCCTTTCTCCTAGGGCGAACCAAGTACTTCAGGTCGAATTATATTTGGTTTGAAAGGACAAAGTCAAGAGTCTTGAGCGTTATTATTATTATTATTCTACTATTCACTTAAGTCCTTCGCAATTCACTAAAAGTGAGGCATCTTCTTTGTTATATAAAGAGGCAGATATGAAGATAGTCTACTACTACAGAAAAACAATAAATTTATGTTTTAGTGGTTCGCCTACATGTTGCAGAAATTCTGTTCATTTCTACACCGTCAGCACCTGGACAGTAATCAGCCTTTATGTACTAATACAAGCCATATTCCCTAATTGAAAGGCATAGAGCAATGCAATAAAGATAACGAGGATGAAAATAAGCACGAATATTTCACAATAACCAACAATAAAAGAAGCCAAAAGAGCAATTTCTACCAAAATAGGATATAAATTCTAGCCGAACTTGCTTGTTGGGCTGCGAACAGAACCGGACCGGTAGCGAGTCCTAACTGTAGATCTGACCCACCAGCAGGTTTCCCAAGTTTACTTTCTTGTCCAGTGAAGTCCAGAACATCATCCAGTAATTGGAAAGCCATGCCTAAATGACGACCAAAGTTATAGGCTGACTCCACCAGTGAAGCACCAACACCGGAAAGAATGGTCACCTAGCGAATTGAAATAAGAAATATAGAGGAACACAGTGAAAACAAGCATGACACACATATGAAAGCACCGCACAGCTTTACAACTATTAGCCATTAAACTAGCTGTTTTCTTGTATGTCTTCTCGAGGTATAGGTGGAAACGGTAGTTCTCATCAGAATTTGATGCTAGCTGCATGAATTCGCCTCGAATCAAATCATCAAGAACTGTTGATAGTAAAGACACGACTTCCGCATTATCCAACTTTGCAAGCAATTCCGAAGCTTTCAACAACATCACATTGCCCACAAGGATAGCCTACAAACGTCGATAAGATTAAGCATATGTATACATACTGAAATGTTGACGTACGTTTTTGCTGCCAAATTTCTTGTAAGTTGCTACTCTCTTACGTCGTGTCTCTGCCTTATCGATGAGATCGTCATGAATAAGGCTTGCAGTGTGAATCATTTCAGTGATTACGGCAATTGCATGTTGGGCATCATTAACCTTACTTTCTAAAGGATGCGATATAAGTATAGAATATATCAAACTAACCTAACTGTCTATTTGGAAATTTCACCTTTGGGGTCTGAGCATGAGAACCGATAAGTGAATAATCCAGATGTCCATTTGCACAAGCGGCCATTAGCATAACTAGGAGAGGACGTAGCATTTTGCCCTTGGTGCTAAAAGCGTAGTCAGTAATTATGTTGATTCTATCATTTGGCACCAGGAGAACCTTAAATATAACAAAGGAAATATTGGCATACGGTTTTAATATCGCTCGGAATACGTTTAACGTCGGTCAGCGCGCTTATTTCAACATCTCGGGCACTACCGGTGCATTGTTTGGACGCAGATATACTAGCACGTGAAAATTTTGGGCGAGCGATAACGCTAATATCAGAGCTGATTGTATGCGAGAAATTTTTAAACACGTTAAGAATAGATTTAAGGCCGGTACGGGCTAACAATGTCATTGGGACGGTAATCTACAAACCTGCACGCGACTGGAAATAACATCGACCTTCATACCAATCAGTTGCCCAATAGAATTTCTTGCAATTAACCTAAGATCTTTAATGAAATTAGTTTCGAAATCACCTAAAAATTTAGTTTTCTTAAATCAAAATACCCTTTCGATAAACCGCACACATTTTGAGGCATAGTTAACAATTGCCTGATAATAAACTCATATAATAAGGTTAAGGTAATAATTACGATCGAAACTTTAATATTTTTTGTCTCCTTGATGATAGTGAAATTTCCTTTATCTACATACTGATCTAGCGACAAAAATAACTTGAACCATTTTTTAATCATGGACAGCATTTAGATGCCACAAGTGAACATTTAGAGGTGAAGGAATTTAAGCCGTACAGCTACCAAATATTCTACTAAATAATAACAAAAGAAATCAGATAAATATGAAGAGAAAATTCAGTCAATGGATCAAACTAAAAAAGTAAGTCATTGCGTTGGATAGGTTGCGAGGAATATTTTGCGTTGTCAAGGCCCGTCAAGAGAAATGAAAAAGATCCTGGATTTTGCTTGATGCCTGAGAATTCATATTTATTTGACTTTAGAAGAACGTTGTTTTACACGGCATATAAAGAAAGAATTTGATTTCGAAATTCATAGGACGAGTATCACCACGAAAAAATGAACGAGCGAATGAGTAAATAAAAGAAATAGATTATTTTGTAAATTGAATTAGCATATACTAATGAAGAAAACTGAAAATGGGGCTGTTAAACTTGTACTATTGCAAGTAACGAATAATAACTACAAGTATGTTCACAATTGAAAATTATTTGCTACTAGTGCGAACAAGCTTAAAATGAATTAACAGTTCACATTCCACTTACCAAATATATAACCACACATTTGTAAATGAGTGCTTTGAAAAATCTTCTAAAGTATCACTTTATCAAGAAGAAATCCTGAGAGAAAAATTAACCCGAATTCAATTCTATATCAAACATTTTTCTACCTACTTTCAATATTAATACCAGTCAAAAAATTAAAATTATGCAAAATTATTTCAGCACTACATAATTTTATATTTTAGTTAATTGTGATTTAATGAATTATTATACTCGTTATAAATTTTGCCTGCGATTTTTAATTCGACGCGATTTATAATTTTTGTGGGTTGTGCCTGTCTCATGCGATTAGTTTTGTGATGTCTCGGTTTGGGGTATTTTATGAAGGTGTTCGATGGGATATACCTAGTGAAGGAGGATCAGCATGTCTTTCCTACTTATCCATGTCACAACGATTTTTCGAAACGTTATTTTTTACCATTGTCTACGGAAGCTTGTTATTATGGTGCATTCCAAGATTGAAACTTCCATTTGACAAAAAACACTCCTCTTCGAATCACTTGAACTGGCTTAAACTGTTTTACTGCTTAATTTTTGGGGTTGAAATAGGCTATAAACTTACAGCACGATCTCTGATATTCATTTTCAATCCTTGCCATGCAATTACTGCAATTCAGGTGAATGCCTTGTGATTTATTTTTTCATGTTGTTAATTTTGATGACCTTCACGTTGTGGTTTTTTTTAATTTTTCAATATTTTAACTTCAGATCTGGCTTCTTTTTGCAAAACCGAGTTCTTTCATTACTGCTGTTTTTCGCTTGCACCTGCATGGCATTAATGGAACGCTTTTGGCTCTTATATTACCGACAACTGGTACAAGAACTGTAAGTATAACTTATCCGTTACTTTGTTTATTACCTTTTCATACAGACATTATATTGCTGCTATTTTTATTCATATCGATTTGCCTCGATGTAGTATCTGTTACATAAAATTCTGAGTAATATTTTTTTATTTTTTAAATCAATTAATTAGTGTATTTCAGCATCATGCTAATTTAATGCTTTCTTTTTCCTGCTTGTTTGTTCATCGGTGTTTCTTTGAGATTTGCAGTTTTTATGTAGTGTCACTCACTTTTTACATGAGTGTTAACAAGTGCACACCCCTAGAACGATTTGAATGAGTTTATTTATTGACGGTAACAGTAATGAATGTTTTCTATTTCGCCATCCCTTTACTCCTTTTATTAGAAAATAAACATATTTTCTTCTTTTTAGTTCTATAATCCTAACTAAAACTGAGAAGTAATTAATTTCTTCTAATGTATTTCGATGTAGGACTAGATTGTAGTTGTTCTGTTTAATTATCTCCTATTGTCCTCAACTCCTAATAATGCATGGCCAGTGTTCTTCAGGCCTTAACACCAAAATTTGAATGTGAATCCAATTCTCTTTGGCCTTTGGATTGAAAATTTGGTAAAAAAGAAACGTCGATTAAGACATAATGTGTGTGCTTTTGTCATAAAATTGATGAGGCCCCAGCATGTAAAGGAATATCTCATAAATAGGTACAACATCTATGACTGAGTGGTCACTGGGAGTTTGATTTATGATATCCCAAATTGCTTTTTCGACTATTTTACTCGATAATGTTTTTTTTGGGAGCTACACAAAGAAAAATTTTAAAATGTTAGATATTCTCGTAATCTCTCCACTATCGGTGAGGCATAAATACACTCTTAAAAATAACGAGGAGTATATATCTTTGAATCTTTCAATGCAGTATTTTTAACACTGTGTTTGACTCACCTCAGATAAGATCGGATACCTGGAACGAAACGATTAGAAGGTAGAGACCTTGAGTGGATCTCGACATACGCCTTTAACAGTCATTGTAATTGGATATAAATTCAGTGAATAAAGATCCTTTACTCATTGGAACATTCACTAAACGATATTACTTAATACGTAAGTAAGTATTCATAAGTAAAAGTTAACAGAAAATGAGTTTCATCATTGTGTCCAGTAAGAGCATTAGAAGACATCGATATTCTCGAAAAACTAGACTAGTTTGCTGACCTTAAAGTTCTAAAAGGCCAATTTTCTCCACATCTATCCATTACTGTTGTTGTTACTTTAAAGTCGTTTGAATCTCGTTTTTAAACTAAGTATTGGTGATGGCTTTCCTTTTCTCATTATCTCAAAACTGAACATGTTCGTAGTTAGGAAACAATAGTTAGAATAAGTGGTGATTAACTTGATCCTTGTTAGCCAATACTTATAATGTTTGTCTTTTCAATTTCCCCTCTATTTGTATCTCTTTAGTCCGCCTTTTTATATTGAAAATGCCACAATTTTTTCGTCATATTTGAGCCTCGGACAGTAGAGTGGAGGAGAATAATTTCTTCGCATTTCCCTTAACTTGCATTGATAAAGAATTCTGCGCTCTCGAGTTCTTTCAGCTACTCATTTCAAAAAGGAAGGCTTTAAGTTGTCGATTTAATTTCTTCTCTGTTAGTTATCTGCCAGTCTTAGTTAAAATACCGGGAGAAAAAGGAGGGAACGAAAACTTGTCAATGGTAAGGAGAGTTTATTGCAACAAGACCAGGAACTGAGTGGGAATGAGACTGGGATGACTTCACCAGACAGCGAGCAAACTGCCCGCGCATACACGGTTGATTGTATAGAGCGAAAATAAAGTTACGCTACTGTAGTCTGGCTATAGGCGGAAACGATATTGGCGTGGATGGTAGTTGGCATGTAAATTTGTCTTAGCGGGCTTTTGCCAGACGTCAGCAAACCATTGCTTACAGAGCTGGGAGGTATTTGCGTCACCCTCCCAAATATTATTTTGAAAAGCAGGAGAAAAATTCGCTCCCAAAGGCGATGACCGATATAGAATTGGATGCAAGATAAGATGCTATTTCATGACTAAGTATTTTTCTTACAACTAATATTAGACTATCTTCCAAAATTTACAGAACAGAAGTTGAATGTAGACTTGAGTAATTGAGTCACACCTGGACAGTTGGGAAATGTCATTCCTTCTGTTTAGTCCAATTATTCACGAAGACATGGACAGCACAATCCGTTACGCCTCTTAGGCCCAAAGAGATTGCTCCGCAAGGTTTCGAAAGTCGAGTTCCTTATTTGTTTGCGTTATAAACATTACTTCCATTAAGTTTTTAGGAAAAAACCTTTTCTGTTAGTTTATCGAAATTTCAAATTTCCAGGCCTCATCTTAAGTTCCTTAGTGAACCTTTGGTACTTCGCAGATATGACTACATTTCATTTGCCTTAAGCAAATTTTCAACGGTACGTGTAAGCGCGCAATTTCACATGGGACATTTTGCGCAGAAAATTACCTACAGCGATTCCTCGTCTTTTTCGTCCATCGTCGTATGCTTTCTTGAATGTCCGCCATTAATGCCTCGCTGAGGGTGCACTTATGCATAGTAGAGGTGCTCTATTTTATTTCCCTCCTAAATTAATGTCAATTGCAAGTTTATTAGTTTTAAGAAAGAAATACTCAATGCGCTATGCTAAGTTGCAGAACAGATTTATTTGTTCAAGCGCTATGTCACGTACGTAGTCTAAACGTGAACGTGTGTAGGCGTTGTAAAGGGTTAGCCTATAAGTACGCCTTCAGCATCCCCAATTTGCCTGTTTCTTGTGTCCCTATAGCCGTACTGTTTTCCTTCCCACATCTTTTAGCCGATACTTCGGGTCATCTATTTCGTGCAGCATATTCTCATTCTCCTCATTCCAGCCTCTATTTTGGATCAAAACTGTACGTTTCAATTGGTTTATATACATACATAAATATTTTGACCGAATGCATGTGCGTTATTTTCTTTAGTACCTTGATGTCATTCAGAACTCCATTAGTATTAGTTTTTTTAATGTACTGTTTGAATGTTTCTTCAATAGACCAGTCTCTTGCAACGGGGAGACTTAAACGCCACCCCCATTCATCCTCTATCTCCCTTTTTCTCCTTTGCTATAGTAATAGCTGCTTTCTATGCTGCGCGCACCTTTTCATCATGCGGCGTTATATTTGGGGGTGAGGAAAGGGGCCACTTCTTCCAAGCACACACTTATCTATTCGGAACTAATAATTAAGTGAACTCTAAACAATTTCACCTCACGTGATCATTGGGACATCATTGCACTCAAATGCATGTGTATTCGATTAACTCACCGTAATAACCTACTCCTCTTAAGCTTTTACGCCTTTTTTGCTATGTTCTTGAGTTCCCTATTTGCGTGGTTTAAGTAAATGGTGAAGGACATTGCACAGATATGGCAGTTTAGAATGAAAGAATGTGAAGTTTGCACATGAAATGTGGAAAGATGAATCAGGGATGGCATTAGTATATTTGGTACCGAAGGTTGCTTATTGTTCCACTTTGTCCTCATGTTGATCCGCCTACTGGTGAGTGCTTCCATGTTGGCCGACAATTTTGCTTGCTTTTAGCCTACCCTCAATTCCTTACTAGCAAGGTGCTTGTGATAATGAGATACGTCCTTGTGAGTAGTAGTGAGAAGGTCGTTTTTACAGCTAGCTATACTACCAGACTCTACATTCCTTTATTCTAACTAAATAAGTAGGTCCCTCATTTCTCTGATTTAGCTCTACTCGCCTATTTCTGCACTCATTTTTAGTGCGATTGTAAATACGTTCCATATTCGTGCATTAGCTGTGCTCTGACTGCTAGACGTTTGCCTTACTGTATTCTCCCAATTCCTCTCACACCACTGATAAATATCTCTATTTGCATGGCACTACTACTAGTCTTTCGGATAGAGAGGAATGCAAGCAGACTAACTCCCTATTCTGGCTTATAATAAAAATCAGATCAAAAAGACTTTACTTCTGCATGCCAGTCCCGGATCTGACTCGCTTTATTATTTTTTGTATAATAATTTATGTTTTTAACAGCTCGCGGTGTTCGCTATATACGCCTCTGTGATAATTTGCTGCAACGTGTGATCTTGTTTTGTTGAATTTTAGCTGTCTATTCAATCGAACCATTTGGTGATTTTCACTGGGTTCTCACTTCAATGGCCATTCAAGTTCTCTACCATTTTCTCTTACTGCAGCCAATGGGAATGGTATGTAAATGCACAGTTCCTATTAAAGTCCATTTAAGCGCGCAACACTTGGATAAAATGTGTACTTGTTATTGGTCTTCCAGTTATCCCATGCAAATTTAAACCAAATGCTTTGCCCTTCACTTTCGGATCCATTTGCTGGGCCATACTATCGTATTGCGGCTATGATCCACCAACCGCTCTTAATTCTTTTTATCGGCAAGCTTTATTCAATTATAGTTCTATGGCTTCAGCAAGTCATCAAGTCACCAAATTTCATCAAACCTCTCATTTCTTCCTTCCATTGGTTGCCGGGATTAGCTATCATTTTGGATAATCCAGACAAAACCACTCCTCAAGCCATGGTTTGCGAGAAAACAGAGGAGAGAAGACCACAGTCACTAAAGGAGCTTTTCCAAACACAGAGAAGTCGTTGCGAAAGTGCTGATGAAGAGCGCTGTCAGTAATTTCGTTATATTATTATTACTATTATAAACAATAGAAGTATACCAACTGCCGCATTCCTTATCTTTTAAATGTTTGTTTATTTCTGTATGTCTGTCTTTTGTTGAAACATGACTTATTTTCACTGGATCAATTCCCTTGACTCTCGAGGAGATCCGCATCTTATTTCAACATTCCAAACTCTGTCTTGGTTGATTTGTTGTTCTGATCAGGTTGACGTCGATCTGTCTTCCTGTTGTATTCTTTTGATTTGTTATGAAAATTCAATAAAGAAAGGTCCAATATTAATCCCTATGTTTTTGTTTTCAATTTTTTCGGGTTTTGTCTGCGAGTATGACTGCCGAATTCCATTGTTCTTAGCTCCTCCTCTATTGATTTACTTTCAGTAGCATTGGCAAGCACTTGAGGGACAATAGTTTTATTGTGCCTACCCAAGGCACCGTAAGGTCCTGCATGTACCTGTACTTAAGGCCTGCCCACCTGAGCCACAACGAGGGTTTTGATTATCTATTCGTAGTGAAAATGTGCCAGTCACAGTGTGCTCTTAACGTCATTTAGCAGTTTCTTACTCGTGTCTTTGTTGTAACCTTTTTTAGTGGCACGTGCAGTTTGCCTGTCTTTGAGCTCGGGGTTATTATGAATGTCCTATTTTTCGTTTTATAGTGAATAAGTATGCCTCCGGCAGTAAGCACAGGAGAACAGTTTAAACTTTCCAATTTACCCACTGACAGCGTAAGTGCGGTTCATTTCCAACCTGGCAGGGGATCGCAGTTGTTGCTTGCTTCGAGTTGGGATTGCAACGTGCGTCTTTATGATGTGACATCTGGGAGTCTTCGCTCTTCCTATGAGCATGGTTGTCCAGTTCTGGCCTCAAATTTTACTGATGCACTTCATACAATTTCTGGATCTCTTGAGGGCGCTGTCAAGTACTACGATATCAACACGTCTCAGTGTTAGTTTTCTTTTCCACAATCTAGAATCGGCCGATTCGCCTACCTAACTTAACATTTGTATTTTTTGCAGCCATCACATTGGGTAAGTGCAATCGAGCAGTTAGTGTGGCAGTGTACAGCAATGCAATTAGTGCACCACTTACTGGATCCTGGGATCGAACAGTACGCGTGTGGGATCCCAGAGCTGGGGAGGGGTCAGGCGCAGTCTCAGTTCATCAGCAACCAGACAGCGTCTACACAATGGATGCAGTCAACACAACACTCGTAGTAGGCACGGCGGGCCGTCATGTCATTCTCTGGGATCTTCGAAACATGTCCCAGCCCATCGAACAGCAGGAGTCCACTCTCCGCTACCAAACTCGCGTTATTCGGTGCTTCCCCAGCGGTCAGGGCTTCGTTATGGGCTCTATTGAAGGTAAGTGGTATTGGCTATTTATGGCCGATGAAATGTCCAATTTTCAAGCAAGCTGAAAGCGAAACTTCCATTTCGTGTTAGGCCGCGTTGCTGTTCGCATGTTTGATCAGAGCCAGGAATCTCAGAAGAATTCCTACGTCTTCAAATGCCATAGACGTAAAGAGGATCACAGAGAAATTATATATCCTGTGAATGCGGTTTCCTTCCATCCAAAATATAACACTTTCGCTACAGGTAAGTGGTGAAATGACGAGCTTCTGAAATTTCCTTGTTCTCCATAAATCAATTTCTGTTTTCTTTTGTGTTTTTATAGGTGGATCTGACGGAATGGTTAACACATGGGATGGCTTTAACCGCAAGTGGTTGGCACAATTTGAGAAGTATCCAACCACTGTGAGCAGCTTAGACTTTAATGAGGAGGGAACACAGTTGGCTGTAGCTGTTTCCTACTTGTTTGAGAATGGTGAACAGCCTGATGTACCATCACCGGCTATTTACATTCGAACAGTGTCTGATGCTGAGGTTCGACGCAAAATGTCTGTTATCAGTGGAGCTTCCGCGACAATCTCTGCAGCAACAACTGTTCAACCCCCTCGCTATTGAACTTTGGCATTTTGATATTCGTATCCTTTTCTATATAACTCTCAGCTAAGTCAGTACTAGTTAAAGAGTGTTTCCTGTCTGTTTTTATATCGGTTGTTTTGTGTTACGGAAATATAGAATTCGGTGCAGTTTTTTTTACAATTTGATTTCATATTAGGAATCGTATGTGGGCGGGAGGTGGTGTGATTTTACCCAACTTTAATGAAAATTTGAATTTTAAAATCGTGCTATCCGCCCAATTTAAAGCAAACTAATCCTGAGTGTGTTCTGATCGACACCAAGCTGGCCAGAATACCTTTTGAAACAGTGGACGATTGGATATGAATTTGATGTTCAAGAGATCTGTTATATTTTGAAGCGCATCTGAGCCAGATAGTAGTATCATGACTTTACCCATTTGGCAATGGCAAGGTATCAACCAGACTGATTTAAAACATACGAAAGAATTATGGAACCGACTCTAAACATTTCACACTGATACTGTCGGGAATAGGCTTATGTGGTGCTGGCATTCTAAAAGTGCTTTATAGGCGAAGCGTGTACTATGTGTCCCTAAACTGACCAGTAGTGAACATGAAAAATCACTGATTGGTTAAGTGAGTGCCTGGGGAGTGGTACTGTGAAGTCTCAGTTGTTGGAATAAATGTGACCTCACACGGATGGAAGAGGAGGAGGATATTTGGCAATTAGGTTAATAGGTCATCCGCTTTAAGTGCATATTAGATTACTGAGTTCGGATAACCAACAAGTCTTCTTCTCTCTCATCTCAGCAACATTAAAACTGCAAGCTCTTGAAGTAATTTATCATAGAGCAAAGCTTGGAATAGTCGGCGGCTTGTAATCAGAGGATTAGTTGTAATCGCTGACCCCTGTGAGGAAAAGCTATGTTTAGTATTCTTCGACTTTGCAGAGAGACCACAATTTAACGGTAAGCAGATTCGATCGTTCCAAATTCTGATGTTGGAAATATTAAGGACTAAAAAGTCAAAAAACGGCCTAATTCGGGGAAAATAAATCGCAATATTAATAAAATGACTAATCTTGTCTGTACACACAAATATCCCAAATGAATGTGTTCTGTTTCCTCTGTACCTTTTCGATAGACTTGCCAGTTCTGAGAGTTTTTCCAAACATAGGTGAATCTGCCGTAGAGATCACTGAGTATAGTCAAGGCTAATATATGTGTAGCAATCCGGAACAAGCTAATCACATCACGAGTAATAACAGGTTTAATTTCGGACTCCCTGAATTGCTCGTATTCTTACACTAACTCCAGTTCATGCCATTGACGTCCGAATGACAAAAAACGCATATTCGCATTCACATCACAACAATGCGTATGTGTGGATTTTTTAATAGCCTTTGGTAATTTAATTAAGAGTTTAGCAAAAGCATATTTTCAACGTGACGAATTTTGTAATAATTTAGCAAAAAAAATTAATCTAAAAATACGTATTACAGCAGCCCATGAAAGTAGCTCCTTATTGCCTTTAAAATACTCTTTACTCGGGCGAGATTAAGCAATTAGATTAAAACCGATCATAATAAGATATCAGGAGCGTGTGGGTCAAAAATTATGACCAATGAAGCCAACTAGCCAAATCATAAGTGGCTTTTTTGTTGGGAAAAGAATATCAGATTCACGAATGTGATTTGCGGAAAGCACAACACTATCAAGGCTATTATCAAAAGAACCTGGGGGGAGGGGGTGTGGACGTTCTACTGATGGTTGTAACGCCGAGTGAATGGAAAGTGAATACTGAGACTTCTCATTAAATCAGAAATCAATAATCACGCTGTGCACTACTAATTGTAGTTGGGTAGCCTCAAGGTTTGTGAAACAACTGATTTTGTTGTATGCTTGATTATGTCAACAGTGTATTTATTTATATCAAATGGCAGGCATTTTGATAGTTATCATTTGCCCTGGAGCTGACTTCGGAGCTTCACAGAGAGGAGAAGGAACACCAAAGTGATAAAAAGTCGAGAGGGGGAACAGAAGAGTGATTCATAGGTGTAAAGGAGACAGACAGACACAAAGGTACAATGAGTACTGTGGAAGGGGTCGAATATGTCAAATAGTTGGGCCACAGTAGTTTGAAGTCAGAAGTCAACTGCTGATCAATAGACTTTTTGCCGTATGAGTATACGTTG